CACAGGCAACAAGACACAAGGAATCAGACGGAATTTGGACCAGGGCATCCAAAAAGTCTATGATTCTAAGGAGACTCAGAACACATGTCATCTTGACCCCTCACAACGTCCAGCCTCACATGTGGCTCCATGTGCTTGACAGGAGCATGCCATCTCCTCTGTGACAGGATGGCCTGCCTGCCTCCCATCCACCACACCATCTGAGTGCCACGGGGAGCCACACCCCAACACTGTGACAGCCGTCCCTGTCCCCCAGGAAGTCAAGAATGTGGGCCTAGAGGTAGCACAGACCACAGAGCTTAGTGCTTCAGAGGCCCCACAAACCCAACCCCTTCCTCCCCGAGAGGGGAACTGAGTTTGGGAGAGAGAAGGATCTGGGCTCGGGTCGCTGAGTCACGAGTAAGCTTAGGGCTGAACATGGGTGCTTGCACACAGACAGCTGCGCTGACCCACACTGGTAAGAACGTATTTCCTGGCGAGCTGGTTAAACTTTTGGTAAAGGCTGCCATATGTTTTGAAATGTTCACATATACCCTGTGTAAGCTTGAAATGATTAGCATCTTCTGGAGGTTTTCCATTCCCACTTATAGATCCATTTAAACAATTAATTAGGCGCCTGAAGCATACACACTTCCATAAATAATTTCTCCCTCCCCACTGCCCTCGCTGCCGTTTAGGGACTCTGTCAATCTGCTGGAGAGGATGACAATTCCTTGTCCTGCAAATACAGGCCTTTGTAGAGAGATGAGTTTCTTTACAATCTCTACGAGGGAAATGGCTGAGGGCACAAGGGAAAATCTGAAATGAAGCCAGAGGTGGTGTATTTGCGCCCAAAGGGGGATAAGGGAAGACCAAAAATGTTACCATTTTAATTGGTTTCCACTCCTTTCAGGGATGTTTTACTATCTAGTCTTAGTCAACAGCAGTATTTATAATATCAAGCCATACTGAGTAAAATATGCGGGTTTGACTCAAATTTTCATACCTGAATAACGACACAGACATGAAAATCATCCGAGCTTTACCATTTGATCACGTCACAGCTGACTATGCCCTTACTATGCCATAGGATCTTACTGAGTGGTTCATGTGAGTCCACGATACGAAACTGCATAAATAAAGGGTTGTTTCCAACCCTCATTCATTCGATGACTATTTAGTGAGCCACGGCTGAGCACTAGGCTTGCTTTGCGAGGCACGAAGACAACAAGGACAGCAGGACTCAGGTTCTCCTGGTCTCATTAACACTGTGTGGTTTCTTATTCCTCAGACCTACAAGTACCTACGTGGTCTGGCCCTGCCCCTCTCTCCTCCCTTCTTCCTTACCACCCTTCCTCTCTGCTTGTCTCTTACAGCCACACTTGCTGCTCCCTGAAAACACCAAGCTCTTCCTACCCCAGGGCCTTTGCACTGGTGGTCTCCTCTTCCTAGAATGCTATTTTCCCAGGTCTCCTCCTCTCTTCACTGAGGTCTTTGTTCAGATATCACCTCCTTAAAGACAGTTCTGTTTAAAGGCAAATCTTCTCCTCCACTCTTCCCCCACAGTCACTCCTCGCCCTGCTTTATTGTTCTCCAGAGCACTGCTCACCCCTTGAAGTGTTCTAGCTCTGCTTACACTTTATTTTCTGTCTCCCTTGGTGGAGCTGGGACAGGAAGTTCATCTTTTTCAGCAATGTATCCCCAGAGCCTAGAACAACCTGGCCCGTAGCAGATGTTGATGTATTTGGAGAATGAATGAATGAACAAAGAAACCGGCTCTTGACAGTTGGAGTGCTGGGTGAGCCAGCTTTGCAGGAGTCGCTCTGGCTCCCTGTCAGACCTGTGGCCCCCACTGACAAGCACCCCACTCTCCCTCCTGCTGGGCTCCTTCTGTGAATGGCATCCTCAGCCCCTCAGGCTCAAAACCGTGCCATCACCTCTCATTGCTCCCTCCCTCAAGCACCCACGTCCAACCCGCTGCTAGTGTCGGTGTCACCGTGGCCTCCTGCATCAACTCCTTTTTCTTTTCATTCTTACAAGCCTAGCTCACCCCTGCCCAGTCCAGATCCTCCTTCTCTGTCGTCTAGACCACTGTCATTGCCTCCTACCTGGGTGCCCTACTGGCAGGCCCTCCCCCTCCAGTCTCTTCTCCACAGGGCAGCCAGAGGGAGTTTCCTAACGGCCAGGTTTGATCGTGTCTCTCCTCCACTCAAAAACCAGACACCAATCCCTCAGCTGGGCACTCAATGACCCCAGCAACCGCCTCCACCCTCCTCCCAGCCTTCCTTCTTCTCCTGGCTCCGCTTTTATCCTTCTGCCCAGTAGGAATGAACCACTTTCCAGTTTCTGCACATGCCCTTGAAGCCCCCACTGCCTGCTCTCTCTCTGCTCATGCTGTCTCCACTACCTGCAATATCTCCCCTCCTTTCTTCTACGGTACCAACCATTCAGACCCAGCACAAATGCTACCCAGCCTCTCCAGAAGCCATTCCCGGTCTTCCAGAACGATAAAACCCCTCCTTCTCCTCAACTCTCCCGGGGGGCTTATGTCTCTCTTTCAGGACAGGTCTTGGGAAGCACAGGCAATAGAAGAAAGAGTTCAGCACCTGGGGTTGGGCGGTCTGAGCTGGCGCACGGCTCTGTGGCTCAGACTGTCACGACACGATCCCTGCACAAGTCCAACTCTGGGCCTTAACTTATCCATCTACACAAGGGGGATAACAGCACTACTGACGTCACGGGTGTGTTAGGAGGATTAAGCATAAGTGACAGAGTGTAAGAAAAGCTTCGACACTATGCAAACTATTAAATTCAGTCACGCTCAGGTGTTTCACGGCTATCTCACGTGGGCTGAGCCCCAAGTCCAGGACTGGGTCAGTGGGGGACGGACGTTTTGAGGGAGAGGGACTCTGAGGCTCCCAAATCCATGTCCTTGGGCAATGTGGAGAAGGGAAGAAGTGGAGGGTACATCCATAATGCTGGAGCCCTAATGATATTAATAGCTACGGGTTCCCGAGCCTTTCTATGCCCCAGGCACTGTGCTTAAGGACCCTACATAAATTATCTCATCTCACCTTGTTCCCTCACAGGGTAACAGAAGAGGAAAGCCAGAGCCAGAGCAGTTATATAAAGAAGGGCTCCCCTCCCTCCCCAGCACTTCAGACCCGAAAGACACCCTGAAAATCTCCAGTCCGATAATCTTATTTTTCAGATGGAGAAACTGAGACCCAGGGATGTCATGAGCGTTTACTGAAACTGTCTGGCCAGCGAGAAGGAGACCGGGCCTGGCCCCCAGGCCTCTTCCCTCTCAGGGTGGGGGCCACTGCATGCAAAAACCCAGGGGCCACCAGGCATTACGAAGTCTATGTAAATGGTGCTTCGGGAGCACAGTGTCATTTCCGTGGACGACAATGTGAGTGCTGGCCCCTGGAGTTCTGCCACCCAGTCACCTGGCTCTGCTCCACTCAAGAAGGAGGCTCTTGAGAAAAGCGCCTCAGGCCCCTGGAGACTGAACACTGCCCTCCTTGCCAACTACCCCACCAGACAGAGTCTCCTCAAAGGCCACGGACTTCACCCACTCATATCCAGCTTGCACACCCTCAGCATACCTCCCGGCGCACCATCTCTGCACCAGGCACAGGGCTCAGCTCTGGGGACACCCAGCTGCCCTTGAGGGAGCCTTGCCTTGAGCCACCATCCAAGCCTAGTGAGGCTGTCACTGAAGCTAACCCAGCCGCTTTGTCAGCAACACCAAGAGGCTGTGATCGACAGACATCAAGGAGGAAGAGGTGGCCAGACATGAAGGACCTGGGGACCTCCCCGAAGGGATGATGAAAGGGACCTAGGCCCTTAAGGAGGAGGGAGAGTGACTGGGAAGGCATGCAGTCAGGTCAAAGTGGGGTAAGGGGACAACTCCTTGAATGCCACATCACCTGGTCCAACTGAGGATGCAGGCTCTGTGACTCCTGGGAGAACCAGAACTCATACCCTGGAAGCCCGTCTCTGGTCCAGGGCTGCTTCATCCTCCCAAACTAAATCCCAAACCTAGAGCGTTTGCATAAGAGAGCCCTCCTTTGAGGCCGAATGAGGCAAATTAAAGGCCAACCCTTTTTTTTTTTTTTACAGTAAGGATGGCAGCACATGAATGGCACCTGCCGCTCCAAGTGGGGGCAGAGCTGGAATTACAAAGACTCTCCCGGTACACTCGGACGAATTTTGGGGTTCTGGGTCTTCAGTGGGAACAGGATCGAGTTGTGTAGGGGGGAAATGAGGAGGAAAGTCAGGGACCCTAGATTCTAATGCAGGCTTTGCCACTAACTCTCTGGTGACCTTGGTCAAGCCACCGCACTGGGTCTCAGTTTCCCCATCTGTAAAACGAGGGGTTTAAAAGAGTTCCTGAGGTTCACCTGGTCCTCTAAGGCCCAGGATCCTTGTAAGGTAAGACCCTCGGGCCAAGGACCCGGGCAGTCTCCAGGTTCTGCAGGAGCCTGGGCCTCATCTAGCAAAAAGGGGCATGGTGGGGGAGGGGGACGCGCTGGGCTTTCATTTTGGGGGTGGGTGGGAAGCGGCTGGTTCAAGCCTCACAGTCGGGGGAGGCGAAGCAGGGGGAAGGCTGCGAGCCGCGTTTACAGGCCGGCCGGCTAGCGACGATCTCCAACCTCCCTCCGGAGCTTCTGATCCCGGAGACGCGATGCCGCCAAGAGCCGCGCAGCAGCCGAGGCTGCAGAGGCTCGGACCCGGGACCACTACCCCATCCCTCCCGGGAACGGCGCAGAGCTTCGTAGGGAGTGGCTGCTGCTCCCTCCCCGCGGCCCGGCGCAGGGCCCCCTCCCCGGCACGGGGGCCCCCTCCCCCAGTCCGGGGGCGCCGGGAGCCCCATGGGGGCGTGGCGGGGGCGGGCGCCGGCTTCTCGGCCCTGTGGGCTGGAGGAGGTCTCAGCTGCGGGGCCGGCCCGGGAGGGACCCCGCGCCCTCCGCCTCCCGGCTCCCACACAAAGGCGCCCACGGAGGCGCCGCACTTACCGGCCAGAGCGGGCTCCGGGCGCCGGCGGGCGGGCAGGCGGGCCGGCGGGAGGATGTGCGCGCGCGAGGGTGCGTGTGTCTGTGTGTGCGCGAGTGTGTGTGTGTGTGACGGGGGCCGCGCCGAGCTCTGTGCGTCTGCGTGTGCGGGGGTGGCCGTCCGTCGGTCCGTCCGCCCGGCGCTCCGTCCCGCGCTCCGTGCGCGCTCCCCGGCCCGGCCGCCCCGCCGAATGCGCCTCGGCTGCGGAGCGGCGGGCGCAGCGCCAGCTCGGTGGGCGCCCCCGGCCTCGGCCCCGCCCCGCCCCAGGGCGGCTCGCGCCGCTCCCCGGGAACTGCGCAGGGCCCGCGGGGCTGGCTGCGGGCGGCGGGCGGGGAGCCCCGGCAGCGCCCGGGCCGGAGGGGGCCGGACCCCAGACCCTCGATCCGTGACCCTGGTCTCAGGCGACCCCTTCCCCTAACTGTGCTCGGAGTCCCGCAGGCGCCGCCCCCGCGCGGCGGTGCCTGGACCCGGAGGGAGGGGGAGCGCCAGCACCGCATCCATTTCATTCATGATTTTCTCCACCTGCGAGCCCCGGGTCCCGGCTGCGCCGCTACGGCGACCGCCAGAGGGACGCCGGCGGGGCCGCGCGCGCCGATAGCGGTGCGGGATGGACAGGCAGACAGATGCGGGATAGGGGCGGGCGAGACAAAGGGGTCAGAGCTGGGGTGGGGGAGATGAATGGAAGGGGGGGTGGTGTCGCTCCCAGCTTGATGCCCGCACGATGCCCACACCTGCGCGAGCACACCGGACTGGTTAGCACACTGGGGCGCACACAGTGCCCGGTGCCCAGGACCCGCTCCAGGGCTGGGGGAGGCGCCCGCCTCCCCGTCTTTCCCTGTTCCGTTTCTGGGGAGCAAGACCTCCCTCCGCCAGGTCTCGCCCTCCTGACGCGAGCAGCGGGGCGCGCACCTGTCTGGGCTTTCTCGTGGTCCCCAGGGGCCTGGACGCACAAAGAGCTGCCCACGCGCCCCCCAATCCCACACTCCCCAGGCTGGCCCCCGCTGACCGGAGGTTCCTGACATTCCATAGCGATGGGGGCTCTTTGAGGCGTTGGGTGCACACAGGGCCGGGATCCTAAGCTCCATTTTTACATGAGGAAGCCGCCATGCACCACCACAGGGCTACCATCCTGGGTCCGGCCACCGTCCTCTTTCGCCTGGATTTCTGCAATAGCCTCCTTCCTGGGCTCCCAGCTTCCGCCCTTGGCCCCCTGCCAAGGTTCTCTACACAGCAGTCAGAGCGATCCTTTTGAAACGTAAGTCAGATCATGCTGCTCCTTTACTGGGAATCCTGCAGTGGCTCTCGGTCCCATCCAAGTAAAAGCTGGAGCTCCTGTTGTGGGCCTGCAAGGCCTCTCATGAGCTGCCTCCCTTTTAACTCTCCAGCCCCACTTCCTACACTCCAGTCACACTGGATGACCCATCCCACTGCTCCAGTCACACTGGCCTTTTGAGTACATCACCAACATGGCAGCCACCTTGTGGCCTCAGGACCTTTGCACTGCTATTTTCTCTGCCTGGAAACTTCCCCCAGAGAGTCACATGGCTTGCTCCTTTACCTCTTAAATGTGCCACCTCAAAGAGGCCTTCTGTGACCATCCTATTTTAAGTTGCAGGCCCACTCCCCCACTTTTCTCCAGTAGTCCTGACCTTGATTTTGTCTTCCCCACCCCTGAGGCTCACTGACCCTTCATTGCCAGCTCTCACTTCTGTCTCCTGGCATCAGTCAGTCCTCTAGTCTCACCAGACTAACCAACCCTCTAAACAAACCCTGTAGTTTCCCATGTCTAGCCTTTGTTCACTCTGTGCTTTCAGCCTGGAATGCCATTCCCCAAGTCTTACCTAACTTCTAAGGTCCAGTTCAAATGCCCCCTCCTCCGTGGAGCCTTCCCTTGTATGCCCAGGGACACTCCGCCCTCATTCCTCTCTGTCTGCTGCGACAGTGGCTCCTTGTCTTTTTCCCAAGTGTGCTGTGCACTCCTGGGATGGGGCTGGGTCTCCTCCCTCCCCAGTTCCCGGCACAGAAGGGACCATCAGTGCGTGTTTGCGGATCAAGGGCACCAAGTGGAAGGCCTGGCCTGTGCCTTGACTGGTCTTTTTTCCTGGGAGGGGCACAGAGCCCGGCGCAGGCTTCTCGTTATCCCCAGTAGGTTACTGTGAGATGAGAGTGGATCACCTGTCAGACAACCAAGCGGGGGTGGACATGCCAGCCGGGGCTCGAGGACCCGCTCTCCCCTCTTGAGAGCATCGTCTCTGTGGTTCAGCATAAGGCTGACTTTCCCCAGACGGCGTCAGCGTAGCAACAGCAGCTCCTGTAAAGGAGCGCTTCCTGTGTGCCAGGCACCGCCTCGCGTGTTTTCGATGTGCTACTCCGTGTAACCTTGGACAACTTTGGGAGGTAGGCGTTTTGAGATCCCCATTTTCAGGAGAGGAACCGGAAAGAATAAGTGACTGGCTTAAGGTCCTACGGTTGACGGAAGTGGCGTATGTGCTTCCACTTCAGCTCTAGCTGATGGCAAAGCCCAGGCTCCTAGAGCAAGGATGCCCTGCAGGGAAGGCCTTGGGGGCTGAGGGAGGGGAGGGAGGGGCTTAGGAACCTCAGCACGTCAGCCTGGCCCAGATTCTTGTCGCAGAGGCATGCTGCCCAAGGGGGTCCAGGACCTCGCAGTTTCCGCAGTTTCCGTCAGTGGTGCAAGCTAGTCATTGCCCTTCATAAAGCCAGCTTTGGAAGGCCGGGGCTGCCTCTGGAACCTTCCTAGCTGTGTGCTCTGGGGCCCAGCCCCAGCTGTCGAGTGTGGATAGCAATGTCCATCTCAAAGGGTAATGGCGAGGAAGAAGCATGAGAATATACTAGAAAGTAGGAGAGGCTCAACAATCATTCTTCTCCTTTGCTCCTGATAGGGAGCTTCCATCACACGGGAATGTTCCTAAACCAGCCTTCTCACCCCATTTCTTCCCGGCACACGTCTCACTGAAGATTTCAGAGTGTTACCTTGGGGTGCGGTTAAGGAAGGGAAGTCTGGCGTTGATTGAAGGCTTTACATATTTGCTATCCGTGTTGCTTCCGTGCACTGTCTCCTCTGCACCAGCACCTTAGGAGGGAGGCACCGTTATTGCCGACCGGGAACCTGAGGCCCAGAGAGGTCCAGGGACTTGCCCACAGCCACAGCGCTCACTAATTACTGGCAGTGATGAGCTTCTAACCTACATCTGACTCTGTGCACTGGGCCAGCACCCCTCTCCCCTAACCCCATCCCCACGGAAACGGACTCCGCTGATTCCTTTCCTCTGCTCTGACGTGGAAGAGGGAGAGTGCCATGAAGGCCAGGGCAGAGCAGTTGTGAGGTTGAGAGAATTTAAGCTTATTGAGTCATTTTATGTGACTCATTTGCCCTCTCTTGATGGGGGGAGGAAGAGGGGTTTGGGAAAGAGAAAGATGGTCTGAGTAACCAGAGAGCGTCTTGCTGGTGGTTTTTGATGGACTATTAGAGATTAGAGTTAATATTTCTTGCTTTTGGCCTCACTTGCAATTCACTCTATTTGTAATGAAATGTTTTGCTTCGGTGAAAATGTTCCCTTACCCAGATTTTTATTTATTTACTTACTTATTTATAACTCACCCCAATCCACAGAGGATCTGAGGTAGCTTACCACAGGAGCAGAAACCATAAAACAGTGCTAAAATATCAATAAGGATGAGGAGTCGGGACCCAGGCAAATGTAAATACGCTCTGAGAGACAAGACCAAGGCTTAATCATTACAGCTGAGTTTTATTGGGTTCTTCCTGCGGGCAAAGGAATTTGTGTACATTATTTCATTTAATCCTTAAAAAAGCCCTGCGAGGTAGGTGCACTATTATCTTCGTTCTGAAGTAGAGGGAACTGAGGCTCAGAGAGACGGAATATGACGCCCACAGTCATGTAGCTGGTAAGCGCTGACGCTGGTCTTTGAATCTAGTTTGATATTGGAACTTAAGTCCTTATAACCTCTGTCCTGTCCTGCCTCCTTGGGGAACAAAGACCACACGGGCCTCTGGAGCACTGGGCTTGACCTCACATCCTCTTCTGATCTTCTAGGATGTCAAAAAGAAAGGGAGACGTTATATAGAACTGATGCTCTCGCGTCCTTCAAGTTTTTGCTCGTGTCGCTTTCTCAATGCAGCCCACCCTGAGTGCTCTCCTGATGAGCTCTGGAGCCGGCCCCTTCCCGCTGCCTTCAGCAGGCCCCTCTCTATCTTTTCTTTTATGGTGGCACATTTTACCTTCTAACATATTGGATAGTTTACTTATAAACTATATATTTCATATATTATATATTTTATGCAACAAGATATCCTTTAACATATTCTCTATTAATCCATCTATTTATGAATTATGAATTCAATCACTTATCTATTTAATATGCTCACTGTGTAATTGTTTGTTTTCTTCCACTGGAACATGAAGTCCCCACGGGCAGGCATCGTGGTCTCTTTGGATCGCTGACATATCCCAAGTGTCACAGACAGTGCCTGGTATATAGTAGACACTCAATAAATTTTTGTTGCACACTTAAATGATTATTTCAGAGAGGAAGAAACACACCAATATATCAAAGTGGCAAAGTAGGTCGCTTTTTTTTGCTAGCTCATATTTACTTTCCCTTCCCTCCTCCTTGTTTTTTCTTTTTCCCCTCCTCATTTCCGTAAAGGGCTTGAGGCACCTCTGACCCTGAGCTCTCAGAGCAAGTCCTCAGGAGGGTTTTCTGGTGGTAGACCCTTAGGGTCCGTGTGGCCAGTGACCTTAGTGTCTTTGTTGTAGCAAATGCATAAACGGGATTCATGAAGCTGGTTTTGGTGGGGTCTCTCAATGACAGCTGGACATTCTCCCCGCACCTGAATCGGCAAAGGTAAGTTTTTTAGGAGTCTAGGAATAGTGTCCAAGTACCATTCCCAAGGAGCAGATGCTATGGGGATGGAGATGGGAAAATAAAAACCAGAGACTTTGTCTGAAACAATTGATCTAAAGGGAGAGGACATCCTTGCACTCCTAAGAGCTCACCTCTGGAGTCGCATTTCCTGGCCACAAGCCTGAGGAGTGAAAAGCCAAGGACGCTAGCGAGGTTTGTCAGAGGAGAACTGAGCTGAGGACAGTTGCTGGCGTGTGTGCAGGTGGGGGCTGTGCTGTCATCTTCCTGTGGGAGCTGGCCACAGATCCGGCCCAGCCTCTGGGAGCCGCAGACACCAGCCTGTCAGCTCAAGGTGAAGGCCAAGGGCGTGCGGCTGCCCATCTCAGGAGGAAACATCAGAAACGCTTGTCTGGGGACGGGTGGGAGTCAGACCTTCGTCTTTCCCGTGGTCGCTGCTCTGGGCTCCCGCAAAGCGCTCATTCAACAGATGCTTGATTGAGGGCCTGCTCTGAGCTCGCCACTGTTCCAGAAGCTGGGTGCACGTTAGAGAACTGCCGGACAGTCAGCTTCTCTGCTCTCGTGGAACTTACATTCTAGTGGGGACACACTGCCAACAAACCAGGTTCAAACAATGAATTAAAGGATAATTTCAGACAATGGTAAGTGCCATGAAGAAAAGGAAAAGAGTGGGTGATGGGGAGTGAAGGCGGAGAGGGGCGGCTTTCTTTTTTTGTTTGTTTTAGATTTTATTTTTCCTTTTTCTTCCAAAGCCCCCCAGTACATAGTTGTATATTTTAGTTGTGGGTCCTTCTAGTTGTGGCATGTGGGGTGCTGCCTCAGCATGGCTTGACAAGCGGTGCCATGTCCTCATCGAGGATCCAAACTGGCGAAACCCTGGGCCGCTGAAGTGGAGCACGTGAAAACCACTGGGCCACGGGGCCAGCCCCCATGGGGCCACTTTCAACTAGGTGTCCAGAGAAGGCCTCTCAGAGGAGATGGCGTTTGAACAGGGCCCTGAGTTACAGGAAGGAACCAGCTGTGCAACCCAGAAGAGCTTCCCATGCAGGGTTTTCTCATGCAGGCACAGCAGGAAGGCCAGAGCGAGCCATGAGGTGGGGGAAGGGGGCAGGGGCCAGGCTG